AGATACCCTATGTACAACAGATCTGAACCCTGCTCTATCCTGAGCCAATGGTATTGCCTCTGACACACCTACCCCCATTATTCCAGTCACTGAGTCAATCCATTTCATCCAGAGTCTTCCTCTCTTACGCTTTCTGTCTACCCTAACAAGCATAATGTTCCTCTCCAAGAACTGGTCCCTTCTTGCAACATGCCCAAAATATAGAGCTTCAGAATCCTTCCTTTCAAGGAGAAGCTTGGTTTCACTCTCTCCAGGATGAACCTGGAGATGGAGTTAGAAAGTCAAAAGGGCCGACTCGCTCAGTGTTTCTTAAGCTGAAAGAAATAAAAAATAAATTCAAGTCATGAATTGCAATGCTTAAGGATACAAAGGGCAGGATATCGAATGATTCATGAAGCATTAAAAGCAGACTGACATTAGGGTTGAGGGAAGACAGAAAAGGAAGCAAGAAATGATGTATATTGCATTGAAACAGGTGAGGGAAAGATCTATTTAAAAGGGATATATGAATGGGTATTCTTGTCATTACAGAAGTCCAGAATGAAGGCTGCATAGTGGAGTGGACTTGGGAGGGGGCGGGGAAGGGATTGCATAACAATGAAAGAGTTTTTTTTTTTTTCAAGAAGAGTGATTTGGGGGTGAGGGGGTGGACAGGGAGAAAAGTGCAACAATGAATGACTGAATATCCTAAGTCTTTGTAAACTTTCATTAAAATTATTTTTTTTAAACTTGTAAAGAAAAAAGAAGATGGAAGTAGTATATAGAGTCATTGTACCAAAAAGAATTGGCTGACACAGAAGAATTTCAAAAAAACAACATATGAGCAAGAGGCAATGGTGATGAAGGAGAAAGTTCAGGCTACTCTGAAGGACTTGGCAGAAAATAAAGCACCAGGAATTGATGGAATACCAATTGATGTATTTCAACAAACAGATGCTGTTCTGGATGTGTTCACCAAGTTATGCCAAGAAATCTGGAGGGCAACTACTTGGCCAACTGGCTGGAAGAGATTCATATTTATTTCCATTCCAAAGAAAAGTTTACCCAATAGAGTGTGGAAAGTATTGAATAATATCACAGACTAGCAAAATCCTGCTGAAGATTATCCAGAAATTACTAGAACAATATATGAACAGAGAACTACCAGAAATACAAGCTGGGTTTAGAAGAGGTTGTGGCACTAGAGACATTATTGCCAATGTCAGATGTATCTTGACAGAAAGCAAAGAGTACCAGAGGAATGTCTATCCATGTTTCATTGACTATGCAAAGGTATTCGACTATGTGGATCACAACAAATTGTGGCTAACCTTGAGGGAAATGGGAATCCCAGAACACTTGATTGTGCTTATGCAAAACCTATACTTGAACCAGGAAGCAGTCCTCAGAACAAAGCAGAGAAATACCCCATAATTTAAAGTCAGGAAAGGAGTGTGTCAGGGATGTGTCCTGTCTCCATACCTTTTCCAACTATATGCACAACAGATAATTTGGGAAGCAGGGTTTTATGAGGAGGAATGTGGCATCAGGATTGGAGGAAGACTCATCTCAACAACCTATGTTATGGAGTTGACACAACCTTGCTTGCTCAAACTGAAGAAGACCTGAAGTGCTTGCTGCAGAAGATCAAGGGCTGTAGTCTTCAATACAGATTGAAGCTTAACATTAAGAAGACAAAGATTCTTACCACTGGGCAAACTGGCAGCACCATGACAGATGTTGAAGAGATTGAGGTTGTTAACAATTACAGCTTGTTTGGTTCCACAATCAACACTCTTAACATCAGCAGTCAGGAAATCAAAAGATTAATTGCACTGGGAAAATATGCTGTCAGGGACCTCTCCAGAGTACTGAAAAGCAACAATGTCAATCTAGAGACTAAGGTGCGCCTGATCAAGGCCATTGGTCTTTGCAGTTACTGGTTATGCTTCAGAGAGTTGGACAATGAGTAAGTATGACAGAAGAAGAATCAATGTCTTCGAATTGTGGTGCTGGACAAGTCTTGAACATACCATAGACTGTCAAGAAAATGAATAGATCTGTCTTAGAGAGTGTGAAACCAAGATTCTCCTTGGAAGCTAGGATTATGAAACTCTGTCTCACATACTTTGGGCACATGGCCAGGAAGACCAGTTCTTGCAGAACAATGTTATTCTTGGGAGGGTGGAGGGACAGTTCAGGAGAGGAACACTCTGGATGAGATGGATTGATACAGTGACTGGAGCAATGTGGGTTGGTGTGTCGGAATTAGTGAGACTGGCTCAGGACAGAACAGGGTTCGGAGCTGCTGTACTCAGGGTTGCTATGGATTGCAGGCAACTTGATAGAACCTAACAACAGAACACATACTATCATATTCTCTGTATATAGACTTTTTATACCTCTCTTTTGTACAATTTAGATGTCTCTTATTTCTTTATCTTGCCTTATTACCCTCACTAGTACTTACACTACTATATTTAATCAGAGTAGTGATAATGGACATCCTTGTCTGGTCCCCATTTACAGTGGGAATGCCTTTAAACTCTCATCATTGAAGATGAGGTTAGTGGTACATCAATAAGAAGAAGTCTAGTGGCTTAGTGGTAAGGACTTTCACTATCAACCCAAAGGTACACAGTTCAAATCCACCAGCTGCTCTGCAGGAGAGATAGGTAATCTCCTCTCATGCACTTTATCTCCTCTCATGAGATTCACTGACCCTGGAAATCCACTGGCAAGTCAGATATGAGTAGGTTCCAACTTAACTGGATGTAACATCCTTTGAGAGTTGAAGTCCTCAACTACTATTGTGGTATTGTTTGTTCCTGTCTCTCAATCTGTTAATATTTTTGTGTATTTAGCAGCTCTATCACTTGGTGTGTAGATATTAAGGTTATGTCCTAGATTATTAGAGAATGCCAGAAGATGTATATTTGTGTTTTTTCCAACTGTTCAAAGACATTTGACTGTGTGGATCACAACAAATTGTGGCTAATGCTGAAAATAATGGGAATCCTAGAACAACTTATTATGCTCAAGTGAAACCTATACCAAACCAGAAAGCGCTTGTCTGAACAGTAGGTAATTGTTTCTCTTGAGCTGCTTTAAGAATTCTCTGTCTTTGATGTTGCAGACTATGATTATGTCTTGTTTTCTTTTGGAGTCTATCCTGTTTAGGGTCTGGCTTTCAAACTGAGTGTGTCTCCATTCACACAGCATTGGGAACCCACAGAGTCACACAAGACAGGAGCTGAGAGCTCTCTCTAATCTCCTTGATCAGAAGAGCGTTGGTTTAGCCACCTTAATCTCATCTAACTGGGGTGATGGGGGTTGGTGTGTCACAATTAGTGAGATGGGCTCAGGACAGGAAAGGGTTCAGAGCTGCTGTACATAGGGTCGCTGTACATCACAGGCAACTCAATAGCGCATAACAGTAACATACTATTACAGGTTTGGAAGCAGGAGTGGCACCCACTTCCTAAACAACATGCCTCCGGAAAATCTATGAAGTTTGATAAATGTCAATAGTTGTAGCAGGGCTTCAGGCCTTTTGTTCATAAGGTTGCTATGCATAGTGCTTGACTTGAAGGCAGTCAATTCTTTTTTATTTTATTATTTTTGTGTACATGTACCGTCAAATCAGATCTGACTGGTACAGGAGGATATTGCCCCTCCTTCCCCAGCAGAGCATCTGGTGGATTCGAACCGTGCACCTCTAGGATTGTAGTTGCAGCTTCTTGCCACTAGGCCACCAGAGCTCCCCTTAAGGCAGTCAATTCTTTATGAGTTTCATTCAGCTTCTTGGATGTTTAGGTTCTCCTTTTTCATGATACTTGTAAGTTTTCTTCTAATACTTCTGCCACTATTTCCTTGGTTTTTTTCTTCTTGTTCTGGGATTCTAACTATTTTTATGATCTTCCTTTTAATGGTATCCAAGATTCTTATGCCTTATTTTCTTTATTTCCACAATTTCCTCTAGATTGCTAGTGCTAAGGGCTTTACTTCCTGCCTATTTCTGTGTTCCATCTCTTCAATTCTGCTGTTCTGTTCCACCAATACATTGACAGTTTCTGAGAATATGCACGTGATAGCTCAAACTCAAACCTCCAACTACGTTGGTCCCAAGATGACCAAGTATGGTAGAACAAGATGAGCTCTCATTCCGTTTGTTTGTGGTGACTTGGTCTGGTTACCTGCAGATCTTTGCTTCAGAAAAAACCACTGTGTTGCTTTTACTCCACTGGCTGAAGCTATAGTTCTGTCCTGTTGCTATTCCCACTTGTCTGGTGGCCTAGTCTGCAGCAAGCTGGATGCAACCAAAAGGCTATGTCCCTCTGGCAGTTTGAATCTACCAATGGCTCCTCAGGACAAAAATGGACAATCTCCTTTAGTGTGATTTATAGCCTCGGAAACCCAAAAGAAGGTCGGTTATGAGTCATTTCTGACTTGTGGAAAAAAGAGGTGAGCATCCAATCAGTAAGCTCCAAAGATGATGACAGTGGTTATGAGTATGAGGAAGATTCTATGCACTTTATCCAAACACCTGTGCTTTGCTTTTGTATGCAGTTTTAGGCTAAAAAGTAAAGGTTAGAAATTAACCCAAAGGAGGCAGAGATCTTAAAAGACTCTTATCTGTGCAAGAAAAGGTCTAAACCCTATTTGCTAGCTCAATTTTCTTTTAATACCAGATTAAGGATATGCCTCTAACACATATAACATTAAGTAATGAACATATTATGAATTAACTCCTTACTTGGCAAAAAGTATATAAAAATAAAAAAATAGGAGTAGGTAGACAAGCTCTAATTAACAATGTGTAAAATATTACCACAATCTTCATTCTTGAGAAAATAAGGTAGAAAAAATTTACATTTCAAAAAGAAAGCACACCATTTTTGGTTGAACTTAAATCTCTCTTTCAGCTTAACACTACTAGTCTGGCTGTTTAACAAAATCAATTTAAGTTCTAAATGAGTCCAATTAAGGCTAAGACCCTGAGTTTCAAGAAATACAGATGATCAGTCATCATTTTCCTGATCATACATGTTGACCATCACCGCAGAACCATCGCTATTTAGCATCACTGTGTCAGCAATTAGGGTTTTCAGCATCTCAATGTTAATACATAAGTGTTTCACTTTGGGCAATGAAAAGAGTCTTTCCAGGGGAACATAAAACACATTTCCAATACAGAAGGGTTTGGGGGTCTTCTCCATGTGGTCATTTAATGGTGTGAGGACTGGGTGGAAGGACTCAAACAGGGCCTCTGGAGTGTCAGTGTCTTCAGGCATATCCTCAAAGTCCCTGTCATCCTGCAGCTTCAGCCTTTCCAGAAGTGCCCGCCTCATGTCATGGACTTGGGAAACCACTTCATTAACCACCGCATACTGGCGATACTTTTTCTGCTGCAAACTTGGGTATGTGGTAGTATAAACCTGAAAAGGGGAGAGGGAGAAAAAAAATTGAGAAATTGTCAAAATCAGTAAGTCAACTTATTTTTCATATAAAAACTATACATAAAAAAATACTATACATACATAGGAACATGCCTCAAACTCTCCTTAATGTAAAATCTTCTATGTTAATGAGTCAAACTACTGACACTGACACTTATCTAACTTGCTTTCCAAATCTCAGTGAAGAAAGTCCTAATTGCCAGCCTGACTTCAACCAAATCACACTTGCCCAATACTACCACTCAGTATTAGAGAAGTTATAGTCAGTAAAAGAAGAAATGTCTTTCTGCTTCATCCCAGACCTTTAAATCAAAAGGGCCTGAGCAACATCCAGTCTCAGTTCTAACAAGTCATTTCCTGAGCCAAACAAGGGGAAGGAACAACTACTGTTTTTCCTGATGAGCATCTTAATAAATTACCATAAAAAGGGAAGAGTGGAGGCTACACAAAGCAGCTTAGCCAGTCTTCTAAGAAGACTCCAACAGATCATTCTCTATTATACTGTTTGAGATATAATAAAAGGCCACACAGTCTCATGCGCTGCTGTAAGATCAGCTGCCAACATGCAGTCATGACTAAAGGATTTACCTTGGGTCAACCTCAAAACCCAAAGGATTATTTACATCTATCTCTATTTTCGGAACCTTTCATAGCAACCAATGTATTTCTTGCTCCAGTAGCCACAAAATGTACTCACAATTTTATACACATGTTCACCGTGCAGCTCTGGGTCACACACCTCTGCCGCTCTTGTTGGGTTTTTCTTGAAGATCCCTATCTGGGTACAGTACCCAACATCTTCCGCTCTGGCAGGAGGCTTCCCAACACCTGTAAACTCCACCAAGTAACCATAGCGATCCGCTACATCCAAAGCCCTGGGTTCAAAACAAGAAATTCCTTATTGAAGCTTTGAGCTATCATGAAATCATTTGAAAATTATTATTAGAAACCATCTGCAGTCAGTAGAATGTCAACAAAACAACATCCAAAAAATATCAACAAACTCCTAAGCTGCACATTTCCAACCGTGTTTATGTAATACTGCACCACTGGGGTGGCTCTATTTCATTACTGCTGTGAGAAAGCACTGAGCCATAGTATCAGTTTCCAAGTAAGCACAAGAATATGGTGAAGAAAAAAGTAAAGGTGCAGGAAAGGAAGGGATGAAAGATAAGGAGAACACAAGGGTTACAACCTCTAGCCTAGTTTTATCCATCTGGGTTGGAATCAAGTAAAAAACTCAATTATCTGTCATGCCCCAGTAGAAACTCCTGGACAAAAGCATGAAGCTAGTCACAGACCAGTACCTTCCCTGTTCTGTTTCTTCACACCAACAGTTCAGATGTTTGCGTATAAAAAGCAGCTGGTGCCCACACACCTTCTCCACCCTTGCCTGCCCTTGAGAACCAACGAAGATTCTCAGAAAAAGACAGGAAGATCCTCAACAAGAGATATTACACTAGTGTAACAGTGGGTTCTAGCATTAGAGATGGTGAGGTTGCCACAGGATAAGGTTCAGATCTGTTGTTCACAGGGTTGCCATGTATCATTGTTGACTCAACAGCATCAAACAACACTGTGCCCAAATATAAAAGTTCTAAATTAAGTGGCACTTGAGGAATCAATTTTATTGAAATAAATCAAGAAATAATTTAGTTAATTTAGTGAATACACATCAAGATTTACTTCCCAGGATTTTAAACTTTATTAGGAACCACAAACAAGCAAAAGGGCAAACAGGCACACTCACCAGGTCTGAAACTGTATTCTAGTCCACTCGAATTTGTGATCTGAATCTCTGAACTTCACCACTGGAAACAGGGGGTTGAATTCAGAGTTTGGCGTGCTGATTACAACCATGGCTGGAGACAAGAATCCAAACACGACTTTGGGAAACTTGGCCAGATCTTCAGAATCCAAATGCTCTATCCTAAAGTGGTTCGTTGGAAAGACACAATAAAATCTAACTTCTCATTCAAGTGTTCTCATAGGATTAGCAAAAAAAAATTTCTACTTCTTCCTTCTATGAATTTTCAATAATGCTTAAATGACCTTAACCAAAAAAAAGAAAAAAGATCATTCATATATTCTCATTCTTCCTGCCTCACCCTTTTCGCCATCATGGATCATCTAAGTTCCTTTGCTTTGCTCGTTGGACCTCACTCTAAAGACATCCTTAAACAAGGCATCTAAGCATGTTCCTCCCTAACACACTGCAGAAGACTACATACCAATATTTCTGTCGTGTTCTTTCTAAATACGAATACTCATCAGCAAACAAACCAACCTAGATTGAGGGGATTTCTATCATTAGCAAGTATTTCTGAAAACCATCAAGAGCAATGATTACTTTGAAGTAGATATAAAAATGAACAGACATGCTGAGTGAAAATAAATATAAACTGACACTGTAATGAATTAATTATAATTAATGGTTAAATCAAAGTATATATTAATATCAATTGTTATAAAACAAAATGTGTCTGAATAAAATAAAAACCCATGATTTGTGAATTTTAACTCAGAAAACAAAACAAAAAACTAATCAAGAGTAAGTAAGTCAATGGGAGACTGAGAATATTGTTCCAGATTAAAAAACAAAGAAATGTAACAACAAAATGCAGTCTGCAATCCTGCAGAAAAGAATTTTAAAATGGCTATAAGAGACCCCTCCATTGTTGTTGAGTCTGAACCCGACTCACAGCTGACCCTGTAGCAGGTTTCTGGAGGCTATGGCTTGCATGGGAGGAGACAGCCCATCTTTCCCCCCAGAGACTAGCTGGTGGATTGATTCAAACTGTCACAGAGGTGCTGCCTTCAGGTCAGCAAGTCCCTTCCGACTATGCCACCAGCGCTCCCTTATAAGGGGACAGTACTGAAAACAGAAAGACGGCAAGTAAGCACATAAAAAAAGGCCGGCAATTATGTCATTAGGGAACTGAATATCCAAACAAGAGTGTTACTGAGCACAAACCAGAACAGCTATAATCCAAAACACTGCAAATGCCAAATGCCGACAAGGATATCAAGCAGCAGAAATCTTCACTCACTGCTGGTGACAACGCAAAACAGCATGGTTGATTTAGAAGACCGTGAGGCTGCCCAGAGCAAGCTTTCCAAGTGTATGGATGCTCCCAGCAACTAGCCTATTGAACAAAGAGTAAAATCTAACACAGACTGAGGTCTCAGGACTCCAGGCTACAACTGAGGTGTGTTGCAGAATTAGGGTTAGCCCAGACATGCAGATGAGGAGGAGTCAGGGTGCCATGGAAGCTGGAGAACCTTCATCTAATATCCAGAACATTCACTCATCAGTCACTGTGGGATGAGGTAACATCTCAAACAGGGAACACTAAGAAGCTAAACTCTGGCTTACTTTTCTATCTTGCAATAAATCATGCTCCTGAAAATCTACTCGTGAGATGAAAACTATGTCCACACATAAGTCTGTATGCAAATATTTATCACAGCTTTAGTTAGAATGAAAAACTTCCCAAATTGGAAGCAACCAAGGTTTCTATCAATAGGTGAATGGGTAAATAAACTATGGTTTCCTCCATATGGTGGAATAGTATATAGAGATTAAAAAAATTAAGCTATTGATCCACAATGGAGGCAGAGGAAACCTAAATGCCTACTACTAAGTGAAAGAAACCAGCACGTACACACACATAATAATGATAATAATAGTTTTCAAGTATAGAACATTCTGGAAAAGGCAACACTAGAAAGACAATGACAAAAGCAGTGGTTTACAGGGGTCTTGGGGGCTGGGGAAAAGATGACTAGGTGGAGCACAGTGCATTTTTAGGACAGTGTAACTATTCTGTGATGTTGTAATGGTGGGTTGTGACATTAACCACTTGTCAAAACCCACAGGATGATACAACACAGATACTGAATCCTAATGTGTATTATCAACTTTACTTAATAATCATGCATCAGTGTCCATTTAATAACTGCAATAAATGTACAAGACAGCAAAATTTTAAAAGGAAGTGGTTGAGTGGGGAGGGGTATAAGGGAAATGTAGTTTTTGCACAATTTCTCTATAAACCTAGACTTCCTGTTAAAACAGTAAAAAACGCCAAAAACTCAACTCATTGCTGTCAAGTTGGAAACAACTCATGGCCGACTCTCAGGAAGGTTTCCGGGGCTGTAACATGCACAGTAACTTGCCCCTGTTTGTCCCTCAGAGCAGCTGACGGATTCAGACTGCCAGAGGAGTAGCCTTTGGGTTAGCAGAGCAACCCGACAGACCCTACCACAATCGCTCTCTAAAGTAATACTGGAAAACCGGAATCACATTACTTTTTTAAAACTAAGTCTATAAGTCAATACAAAACAAATTTAAATAACTGGTGAATCTGGATAACAGGTATAATAGAATTCCTGAGCTGTGGTGACACAGAAACATACTGAGCTGCTAATCAGAAAGTCAACAGTTCAAATCCATCAGAAAATGAGCAATCTACCTAAAAACCTGGTGGGAGGGGCCATGAATTAGAAACAAAAGGGTCAATGAGATTATTATTCTGGTAACTTTGCAGTAAATATACAGGTATATAAAAATTGAAAATGTCAAACAAAAAGTATTAGACAAAGTCTTGCAGACCTCTCAGTGAAAACAGCATGCCCCGAAGTAATCAGACGGGCTGCAAAATGCAACTGACCTCAGCACCCCAAGGAGTAACTCAGAATAAGGTAGAGAGAGACCATCTCCTTTCCTTCGACCACAGGGACACCTGTTATCTCTGACAGGTCTCTGCTTCTGTCGTCTCTATCTTCTGCCTTCATTACTATCACCCCTCCCAAAACCAACCAACCAGTTCCATCAAGTCAATTCCAGCTCATGGCCACCCCATCTATGATTTACAGAGTCCAGCTGCTCCATGGCAGTTTTTTGGCTGTGATCTCTACAGAAGCCCATCACCAGGCTTTTTCATCCACAGAGCCACTGTGTGAGTGCGAACTGCCCACCCCAACGCTAAGAGTCAATCATAAACTGCTTCCTCCACCCAGACTCCTTCTACCTCTCTTTCCAGAGAAGTTTTATCAGTTTAGTGAATTTATTTAATTGCGATTTTAACAAAAGTTTACAGAAAAGTTGGATTTTCATTCATTGTTGCACATTTTCCTCCCTCTCACTTTTTCTCCCCAGTCCACATTTAAAAAACAAAAAACACAAACAAACACAAAACCCTCATTCACTGTTGCACAATTTCCCTCCTCCCCCTCCCCCAGTCCACTGTGCAATGTACCTCCTATTCTGGACTGTTGTCACACATACAATGCCTAATCATATATTCCTTTTAAACAGTTCTTTGCTTCATCTGTTCCAGTGCAGTGTTTAGTATCTATCCACTCTTTTCCTAGTATGCCCCAAGCCCCCATGTCAGTCTTGCTTTTTAACAGTGGTGTTATGCAGTATTTGTCCTTTTGTGACTGAGATATTTCACTCAGCATAATATCCTCTAAGGTTACCCATACTGTGCACTGTTTTACACATTCACTGTTTTCTATGGCTGTGTAGTATTCCACTTTGCGAATATACCATAGTTTTTCTATCCATTTGTTTGTTGATGAGCACCTGGGTTGCTCCCATCTCTTTGCTATTGTGAATTAACACAGAAAAAAAAATGGACGCATACATCTCTTTAAGTGGCAGCTCTGGTTTTTTTTAGGGGTATATAAATTAATGAATTTAGAAAGAACAGGGCTTGCACACCATCAGTCCCCCCCAGCTTCGTCTGTTTTCTTCTTACCTGCAGGTGATGAACTTACCAATAAACACCCAGTGCTCAAAGAGGAAGACATGGGGTTTCCCAGTGCTGTGTCCTGACAGATAAGTCTACCTAACTCTGGTGTGCAGCACCAAAAAGCCAGTGGTCACTGCTCATCTAAACCATAGGCATTTCCAACAGGCCTATGAGTCATACAGAGTGACTGCATCTATCTTTTCCCTATCTTAATCTATGCCGAACTGGGTAAAGAAGAGAGAAGATATTTTGTCTCCTAAAACTGCCATTTGAGTTAAGACTGGCTGGTAATAAAGACTCACATAGCAAGGGTATTGGTTTTGTCACCAAAATCTTTCCTAAAAAAAGAGGCATTGATCAAAGGGGAGGGGGAATAAGCACCTGTTCAAAGGCAGAACCAAAAGGGACAGCAAAGGTACATGTACATTACTCTCATGATGGTAATAATGAACAAATAAAGGCCAAATATGCATGGCACTCATAGCAAATAATACTGAAGAGAACCAGAGTTTTGAAATGCTGAGGACTTGCATCCCCAGGAAGGCAAACTAGTGTGACAGAGACTGAAGGAAACCCCAAGCCTATTACCCTTCAGGTCTCAAACTGAGCTCACCTACCCTGTGGCTTGCCTTTTAGGTCTGCTGGCCTAGCAGTAAGAAACTGTGCTGCCAACCCAAAAACACACAGTTCAAATCCATGAACTGCTCTGAAGAAGAAAGAAATACTATCTCCTGTTGAGATTTACTGCCTCTGAAAACCCACTGGAGGGGTCAGTGATGAGTTGGTTCTGACTTGATGGCACATAACAATAATTACATCAAAAGTCATTAAGGAAGCACTGATGGTCTACTGGTAAGAAGCTGTGCTACCAATCCAAAGATAATCCGCCATCTGTTCCATAGGAGAAGGACAGGCCATCTCCTCCCGTGAGATTTACAGCCTCTGAAAACCTGCTAGAGGGTCAGACTTAATGGCATGTAACAACAACAAAAGTCACTAGTATCAAAGCTGTACAGATTCCTTACAACAATTTCTTCTGTAAGACCAAAGGGCAACTCGGGCCCAGGGTAAAGCACAAAAGGCAGAACTGTGCAGGAAATGAGACGCAGAGAGGTAATACAGCACAGGTGCAGAACAGAGCACTGTCATTTGTCTGAAGTAGCTAGAACATAACACATGCATCTCCGTAAGTGACAGGAGTGTTAACAACAGCTGCTACTGGAGAAGGAAACTGAGTAGCTGAGAGATGTGAGATCCACTTCTTGTCACATCCTTTTCCTTTGTGGATTTTATGCATTTAGCATCAAATGTATCCTACAGCAGGACCTGGAAATGAGGAAATTATCCTGTGAAAGACCAGGATTGCTCTAGGGGAGAGGCAAGGCATAGGGAAGAAACCGACTACAAGGGCAGACATCGAAGACTGATGGCATGTAAACATGTCTCTTGATGATAAAAATGCACAAATATTGGACAAAGGGCCCAGGATGTGGATGTAATAAATTACAGGGCACAGTTTGAAAATCCAAGTTTAAGTGGAACAATGCAGGTGACAATCAGGAGGTGAGGGAGCATGTACAAGGCAGAATGGTGAGACCAAAGGACAGAAGGCTTCCTGCCTGCCTGCCAGGCCCTGTTCTCACCCCACCTACTACTGCTTCCTAGTTCTTCATGTGCTGTTTCCCGTCAGTAATTTCTACATACCAGAAAGAAAACAAAAAAAACAAATGAAAAGCAAACTATGCTTTACCGGAGCAAAGCACATTACTGAAAACTGGAAACCAAAGTCCCTTTAATTAGTGTTCAAATGCCACAAAGATGCACATAACTTAGTTTCTAAACATCATCCCGTCCAGAGGCAACAAGGCTCCTTGTATAAGTGGCTGATTCCAGGGCTGGGGAAGGAAAAGTATCAGGTCAACAAGAAGTGTCTCTTAATGCCACGAAATAAGGAAATACAAAAAACGACACAGTTCTACCACAAGCCAAAAGAGTCAGTGTAGAAGGGCTCCCCACTGGCCAAGACTGGGACAATCTGAGCAGCAAAATCTGTGACTAAATCTTATTTTTAAAATGAATCATCTTAATACTTACAGTTCAATACATGTTATCAAGTCAAATCCACACAAACGAGAGTCTCTCTCCACAACAGAGCCATGATACAAGGTAACAGTCAATGTCTGCTCCCTGGGTTTTAGATAGTCACCAATGAGGGGAGACAGCTTGTACCTACAAAAACATTGTTAAAGCAATTAGGGACTTCGGAAAACAATCTACTTTAAAATCTTCTACCAGCTAAAGAACTCTCACCCCCCTAATTTTTTAAAAATTGTTATTTATTTAGGAGTTCTGGTGGCTTCGTGGAAAGAATCTGCACTACAGTCCCAGAGATGCATGGTTCAAATTCAACCAGATGCTCTGCTGGAGAAGGAGGGACAATCTCCTCCTGTACTAGTCCGATTCAATTTAACAGTACACACACTAAACATTTTCTTCATTTCTCCTGCCTAACCTCCTTGGTCCACTGTGCAATGCACCTCTTATTCCAGATTGCTGTCATACATATAATACCTAATCATAAACTCCTTTCAGATCATCTTCCCCTCATCTGTTCCAAGGCATTGTGCATCTATCCATTCTTTTTCTTCCCCCAAACCCCTATGTCAGTCCTATTTTATGACAGCAGTATTTGCCCCTTTTGACTGAGATATTTCATTCAGCATAATTTCCTCCAGGCTCCCCCATGTTGTGTAATGTTTTATAGGCTCATTGTTTTTCAACACTGCATACTATTCCATTGTGTGAATGTACTGTATTTTTTTCTATCCATTCAATTGGTGATGGGCACTTGGGTTGCTTCCTTCACTTTGCTATTGTGAATAATGCTGCAATAAACATGTGTGTGCATTCATCTCTTTGAGTTGCAGCTCTGGTTTCTTTAGGGTATACTCCCAGTAGTGGAATCACTGGGTCAAATGGTATTTCTGGTTCCAACTTTTGAAGAAAGCACCAGCCCACTTTCCACAGTGGTTGTACCACTTTACATTTCCACCAACAATGAGTAAGAATTACAATCTCTCTACAACCTAGCCAGAACTTGTTGTATGCTGCCCTGCTGAACTTTGCTATTACTGCTGAGGTGAGATGGGGTCTCAGTTGTTTTGATCCTCCCCCTATTTAATCCTTGACCTATACTGATGACATGACCTATTTTGTGTCTAGTGTTTCCTCCCACATAGGGAAGTTACCAGACCATAAAAACAAGAATTGAAGTAATGATCACTATAAATAACTTTGATATTATTCTCATTTTTCATTCTTCCAGCTCACTTTGGGCCAAAAAGGAGATGCACTGCTAACCCAAAGATATGTGGTTCAAATCCACTCCAAAAGAGGGTAATCTCCTTCAGTGGAATTTAGTGCCTCTGAAACCCAGCTGGAGGGTCAGCTACCAGTTGGTTAAGGCTCAATTAACACAAAACAATAACAACAGAAAAATCATTCTTGAACTATCTGTAGATAGTTTATATATTTAGAGAGCCAAGTGCTGGGTGGAGCAAATGGTTAATACACTCAATTGCTAATTGAAAGGCCGAGAGTTTAAGTCCACCCAGAGATGCCTCAGAAAAAAGGTCTTGCTGTCTATTGACAAACTTCAAATTCTAAGGAGCACAGTTCTCTTCTGACACACATGGGGTCACCATGAGCTGGGATCAACTTGACGGCAACTGTGATGAGACTTGGTCACTAAGCAAGTTTGAAATTGAACTTGCAATGCATTGACTATTATAACTTCATTTGTAAGCTGGCAGGAACAAAATACAGATATTATTCACAATTTATACAGAAATAAACCAAGTCAATACTCAATTAGTGTTATGGGAAAAGCATTATTCACTGGCTCACAGCTCATCCCCAGTCCTTACTCTTTAAATACAAATCATATAAAATTGACAATTCTTCTAAATAGAATGAATGTCACTAGTCTTCAATTAATGTGCAAGTCTTTCAGAAGCCAGATTATTACTCTTTCCTCCGTAATTTATCCTCTTTGATGTCTACTCCAACGAGCAGTTCAATGCACTTATGGAATTTCAGCATCCATAAAAGCGAAGAATCACCACAGCCAAAGTCTGCAATCTGTAGATAAGATAGAACATAATTTCAAAGACATTGATA